TAGGATTTTAAACAACTTGAAAGTAAAACATAATTTATAATTCAGTTTGATAAGGTGATACATCCCTCTCTGTCCAAGACTATACAAGCTTTAACTTGGTTTGGGTACTTGGGTTGTATGACAGATTCCAAGTACTCTGATTATGAATTTCATTGGTGTTGGTGAACTCTTGAATATTCAATATCTCAACTCTGCGATTTGTCTTCTTCCTCACCTGGATCGCAACATCCTGTGGGATGAACTTCCCGCTTATGCTTACCCTGCACTGCTTCTTTTCTATAAAATGTGTCTCCAACTCTTCAATCGTGCAAATTAAGAAAACATATAAATTATAGAGAGAGAGAGAGAGAGAGAGTTTGTATAATATTTAGAAGCAAAACAAGACACCATTTCAAGGGCTCTTACTGATCCATTAAAAGTTCAGCTGGTATATTAAGAAGGGCTATTCTAACTTAAATATGTGTGTGTGTGTGTGCGTGTGACAGAGAGAGAGAGAGAGTTGTCTAACTAAATTTAGAAGCAAAATCAGACACTATTTGAAGGGTTTTATGAATCCATTAAAGGCCACCAGTATATTAATAAGGGCTCTGCTAACTTAAGTCAGAGAGAGAGAGAGGGAGAGAGATTGTATAACTAAACATAGAAGTAAAACAAGACACCATTTGAAGGGTTTTATTGATCCATTAAACGCTTCACCTGGTATATCAAGAAGGGCTCTTCTAACTTTTCTGTAACAACCATTGCAATCCATGTTAATCCTCATCACCATGCTACAGAACTGCCACGCACAGATATTTGAAGTACAATGAAAACTTACATTTTATAAAGAATCATCCCAACAGGTATCTTTTTTTTTTCTTCTTTTGGCTGCTACGCAAACTCAGAATACTCAATACACACAATAATTCATAAACCATATTGATGCAAATTAAATATATTGGATCAACCAAGGTATCTTGCTACACTCATAATCAGGAAGCTCGAGATACTAAAAACTAAAACCGTAACAAAATTTAACTCATGCTGCCCAAAATGGCCTGCTAATTAAACACACACATCAAGGTTTAATCACGGTATCAGTTATCCATTCGGAAGGTTTTGAGATGCAACAGTTGCAGTGCATCGTTTGATTGCTAGACGTCTCAATGTTCCATGGTGGAGTCAGGATTTTATCTTAAGGGGGGGCCAAATTGTGGTGTAACAAGTTATCATTATTATTGAATTTAAGTTGTATACAACCTATTAAAGTGAATTTTCTCACGATAGATTGTATAGTTGCGATTGTTAAATTTATTAGATACTAATTAATTTCAGACCAATTCAGACACCACAGTTTCATAACATAATCACTCTAGCACAAATAAATTTAATCAAGCCTCTATGAAGAATGAAAATATAAAAATACGATTGGGACTTTATAGATATAGGATTTTGGTAAATTATACTTTGTTCTCTTGAAACTATGACCCTTATTTTATTGTACCCACTTGATTAATGATTTGAAAATATTGCACGATTAACCATTCAAATTTGGTTTTTTGAACATTTGCTGAATTTTTGAGGAAAAATAGTTCATGGGACTCTTTTGAATGATTTGTAGTGTAGTTTGTTTAAATCCATTACTGAGAGGTAAAGTATAAACAAGATCACAATCAAAGGATATAAACTAGAATTTTGAAAATCTGAGATGACATAGAAAATGAAATTTACAACTTAAGAGTTAATTTAAAACGAATATAGTCAAAATGTCAAAATTTGAGGGGGGTCATGGCTAAAGAGTAGCTTCACCACTGTCGGTGGCCTAGTCATGTGAAATTCGTGATTTATGTATAATGTGCAAGGGTATTAGATCAGAAGGTACTAAATTGGATACAACTAGGATACGCAAACCCAAGGTGCACACAGACTTGGGGGATGGAGGGCGCAATGCAGGTGCAATAGAAACTAACCTTTTCTGCCATGAATGTGGGGAGAGGTATTGCTCCAGTCTAGAAATGGTGGATTCAACAAGGAAAAGAAGGTACTAAAATGAAATGAGGTGATCATCTTGAGAATAAAATGGATCATGAGCTGGTTTTTCATGTTTTATATGGGATTGGATATTTTATGATTATGGAATATGATTCTCACCACCAAGCTAAAGAGAGAACAAGGCACTGTGTTGCAGTTTCTAGTTTGCCTATTATTCTTGACTTCTTTAAATTGCATATCCCATGTGCAGTGTAGGAAAGCATCCCTTTCTTGCTTTTAAAGGTCTCTATGTTCTCCTGTCAGAAAGGCATCTCTTTTTAGTATGTTATTCTCTTGATTACGTAAAAAATCGTGTAAGTGTATTTTCAATATACAGACTTTAGGATAGAAGCATGTTTTCAAAATAAGACATCATAAAAAAAAAAGGCAATAGTTTGATAAAATATGTTTAAAACTGAAATTTTTTTGTAAAAAAAGTTGCAAAAAATGGTAGAGTGATGAACCCTCTTGGTTTCTAAGTTGTCATAAGAGAACAAGAAAGTGTAAAAGGTAAAATCAAAGTTCTGAATCCATATAAAAAGCTTAATTTGAAGTTTATATTTAGATTCTATAACAGTGAGAAGAATATTATTCTTAGCCAAACCCAATGATTTGTCCTCCGATTCCAAAGGTTTATCATGAAATATGATTATTCAACCAAATGAAGGACAAAATAGTTGCTATTATTGAAAGAAAAACCTGTCTTGAATGATCTGATAATGGTTCTCTTAAAAAATTTAAGTGCCACATGTTAGGATAGCTTGGATGTCTCGATTTTGGTAGCTAATATTTCAAGTTTAAAAGTTTGAATCCCACAAGAAACATCTTAATTGATTCGATGCATGAGATTTATAAGTTATTATGTGCATACAAAGTATATGTAACAACCACAAGTTCAAAGACGTGTGATTAGAACGGTTCTTGGTCTTTAAAAAAATCAATGAGTGCAAATTCACAAAAACCTGACTCATTTGAAATAACCATAAGATATTGCAGTAGAAATGTTTATTTTTGCAAATAATGGAAAATGATTTTTACCAAGACGATACAAGAAAAAAAATAATGAAAAAAAAAAGAGAAAATAATGGATATGAAGTAAAATTTAGTTTTTTATGAATAGATCCATATACATTTTCTTGGGCAATGTGGGGCAATGACCCAACAACCCTGTCTATTATTTTTGTCCACAAAGCAAGAGAAAGGGACTGGTTAATTTCTTTATATACGGCTCACATGATTGATGTCGGCCTTCATTAAAATGAATTTTTACGTTTGGAACTTGGCTGGGTTGTATCTGATTTAGTACCTTCTCATCTGATATTATAATATTATCTAGCAATCCGTGTAAATTATGAGTCTCACGTAATTGATCTAGTGCAATTTTAAATTTTTTTTGGGTAGTTTTAAAATTTATTATTTTTTTAAATTTACTCCCATTAAAAAAATTTGTATAAATTTCTCCCTACTTTTATATTTCAATAACTTGGAATCTAAAAATCTAAATTAATTTATTAACCTAATAATGTGTTAAGTGATGTGATCTCAAAGAATAAATTCAAGAGTTCTAATTAGAGTAATGCTATTGTAATATCTCTACTGTCACATCATGTCAATAATTTACGATAAATTTTTAAACATAATAATACTATTATATGTATGCTATAAACTATTTGATTCCTTCATGAATTAAAAAATTATACTTAAGCTTCTTTCATACGATTCAATTTAATCACTCTCTCTTCAGTCTCTCTTTTATCTTGAATTCTCTTTTTTTCTCACACGAAGTCATCGATTATTATCACTCAAAATTTATTTATAAAACCACGACGAATTTGATATTTGTCATTTGATTATTCTTTAATTTTCTCTCTCGGTTAGTGCTCACGATAATTGAATTCTTAGTTTTTGCTTTCTCAAAAATGAGATTCTAATATTTGAAATTTGACTGTAATAAATTACACTTCGGAATAAATTGTTTCAGCTGATTGGTTTTAATTATAGTTTATTTTATGAATAATTGATAAGTTGCCTCCACTTCAAAAACATTCTACCTCCGCCCTTGGTCACAGGCGACTCGACCTTAAATTGTCAGAGTCATCGCCATCAAATTTGTGATAGCATTTCGCAAAGCCGCAATGTAGTATGAATCCCTTATCATGCTCAATTTCTTCTTTTAAGTAACATTCTGTGAGTTTCGCCCGATACTGTTTCACGTTGATGAGTGTCATTAGAGCTCTTTGAATAGATAGATGATCGATACTAATGATGTACAAATTAGTACTTCAAAAAATTAACAATCGAATATATGAATTAGTGTAACTAAGAAATAGTAAATAATATGATTAATGACAAAACAGTAAATAAAAATAAGCACGTAGATTTATAGTAGTTCGGTCCGGATGACCTACTCTATTTTCGGGAATAGCAACGATGGCTGGAGATCTTTATTAATGAATAAAAATCACTGGAAAAGTACACTCCGGAAGAATTACAATGTTTTAGGAGAGAGAAACTTGAAGTGCAGAGAGGTGTGTGAGATGTAGAGGTCTCTGGGTGATACCCTTTATGTGGAGATGACTTACATTATATAATTTTAGTAAGGCGGTGAGGCAGTGACGTGAGGGAGAGGATTTTTACTATTTTGGTAAGTACAACTAAGGTAAAATTAGATCTCCGAACGTATTTCGATATTTTCTCCCTCGTGCTCCTATTTCGTGGAATAAAGATTCTGAGTTGGATTGGACTTTAGTTAGAGTCGGTTGAACTTGAGTTAGAGTGGTAAAGAGAAGAAGGAGAAAGAGAGACAGATGGGGCCAACCCTTGGGCGGTGCCCATTGGTTCCTCTTTTGGGCATTGACCTTTTGATCTCTTTTTGGGCTTGGTGAGGTAGGTCCCTTTCTGGATATTGATTATTTGTGCCCTTCTTGACTTATTTTTATTGGGCTTGACCAAGTTAATTTTGGGCTCGTCAGATACCGCCATCTTCATCCATTATAGAAATAATAAAAGTATAGAGGAAAAAAAAACATTACAACTGTTTCACACACATGGTATATAAACTCCATACTTGCAAATGATTTTAAACACTTTCTTGCAACATTGGAACAATACACAGACATAGGGACTTCAAACTAGATTATTGTATGAACCAACAACTCTCCTTGAAGACCATTCACTCGGATTTACCAGCAAGTGTCACCTTCTTCTCTAATACATGCACCACCATAAACTCAATATCTGAAAAAGAAATCAGAGGAGTAAATTATATTTTACCACCTTCTGGTTTGAGTTATGAATATTTTACCACCTTATATTTCAAAACCCCACTATAACTCTTCCAGGTTTGGACTAAATTACAACAGCTAACGGAGTTATCAGTTATAAAAAGGCAATAATACCATTCATTGCTTTTAAAACTTTACAGTTTTTCTTCCTAAAAATTCTATACAAATAGGAAAAAATGTAATTAATGCATAAAAATGGAAGAGAAGGAAAGAGACTGATTTACTTTAGGCAGAGAAAATTACCGGATCAGTTTGTTAGTCTAATTCACGAGGAGTCATGTGTAGATTCATAAATTATAAGGAGGTAATCTATAATTTTCCGAAATAAAGAAATGAGGTAGCAGATATTGCTTGCCTGGTACTCGAATTAAAATTTAAATTCGATCATGAGCTGATCATCCCTTTTCAAGGTCATATTTGATTGCTTCATGTATAGTTTCATGCTTGTACTTATTAAACAAGCAAAAGTTGATATAGAAATTTACCATCTATTCTTGAGATCACATCAGCTACCTTGTTTTGGCACTTGGCACAGTGTAAATCAGCTGCTAATACCACTTCCTGGATCTGCAATTTAGCACCCCAAAAAAAACATGTTTCAAAGAATGGCATACTTTCTCCACAACACACAAGAGGGGGGGGAGGGGGAGAGAGAGAGAGAGGACCGGAGACATTGTTGGGCATTTTACAGGAGCCAAGCTGGTGGCAGGAAGCGGTAACCTCTTAGGCTTGTGGATTCCAAGTCTAGCAAGCTCCTTCTTAGCCCAAGAGACCAGAGTCATGACTTTGGTTCTGCAATTCTTCACAGCAAAGCCAAGATATATAGGAATACCCAACAGATTTTGGAAAATAGCAACAAGCTAGCTAGCGCAATGAGTTTATGAGTTCAGTCACAAATTGATCTTTGAACAATTTGGGCTTTTTTTGATTGAGAAATTCCACCTTTTTGAGGACCTAAGTTGTAGGCACAGCAAATGGATGGAGATAGAACACTACAACCACATGCTAAAGAGAGAGGAAATCTACTAAACAAGAAAGATATACCTCACCTCCCCACAGAGCCCCACATTTCCTAGCTTGCCTTTTGCCCCACTCATTCAATGATTCTACTCTAAATTCCTTGTAGTACTCTTATAATTGGTAGGTTTATGGTACGAAAAAATATTTTTTCAGTACTATACTGAAGTTATGCAATGTTACAACTCATCTTAGTAAGTTTATACTAAATTGGTGTTATTTGAAATTGACCGTAACATTTTAGAATCGATTATCCTGTTATTAGATTTGATCCCAAATTCTCTTTTTGAATTCTTGTGGTATTAGGTATCCCCTTTCTTGTGATTCCGATTTATTGATGAACTCCTATAATTAGTGTGTAGGGCAACATTAATGAAAAATAAAAGCATTGCAAATAAAGTAGAGACATGCTACGTTTCATTAAACAAAGTTGTTTAATCATTTATTTGTTTTCTTATGTTGTTATGTGTCACCAAACTCGAGCATTATTCTTTCTTAATTTAACTTGGCTTAAAGTTGAAGAAGGACCGGAGGATGAATGCTTAATGAATGTGGGATCCATTGAGGGGTTGCCGCAGATACTTAATGAGGGGACAGAAGAACAGAAGGAAAAAAATTGGGATATAAATAAGCCCACTTAATTTATCCAAAAATAGAAGCAACTACGAAGAGAACTTCAATTGGTTCTTTCCCTGGGTACAAAACAGGGAAAAGGGTTTTTTCTAACTTTTTTTTTTTTCGAGCTACAACGAAGGATCTAGATTATTTTTAATGAGAATAGAAAAACGAAGAGTTTTATGATAGGTGAAATTTGACTTCAGGTCATATTTGAGAGTGAGCAGCTTCTAACCACTCGGACGCACCCATTTTGCTCTTTTGCAACTATTATTGACAATCGATTTGTGGATTTATTATGTATTAACGATAGAACAGAAAAAGAAAAAGACAAAATCGATATCATACCTCCAAATCTTTACAACTTTTTGTGAGTTTTGATACAAGTTTTGAGTTTATTTACAATAAAAAAAAAATTTACAACATAGTTGGTTCATGTTACAACTTTCAAGATTTGTGTTACAATTGTTTTGGCCAAGTCACAACCAGCTGTAAATTGTATCTTGCGATCAATTCTAAAAATGGTAGGTGATGATGCACAAATTTATTTTACACATCACCTGTCAAGTAATTAATGCACATAATAAAATAGAGCGATAAAACTCAACATAAGCAATATACAATTTAAGTAGTTCGGTCAAGGTGACCTATTCTACTGTAAAGGGCTAGGATGATCTGTGTGTTTTATTGTTGTAAAAGTGTAAGGAGATCAGATGAGAGCAATGAGAGCTAAGGTAAGATACAAGATGTGAGAGATATGATAGTGATGTCAAATGTGATCTCTTGTCAGAGGTGTGATCAATCTGTGTTAGATATCTCTCATGTGTAAGTGGGACTTATATTTTATAGTCATCTCCTAACAGATTGAAGTGATATGTCAGTAACTAAAAGGCTAATTTGGTGAAGGTGATATTACCTTCATAACGGATGAGACTGTTGCGGGGCTCTCCTCAAGATCAGGTCTTAGGATGGCGTAGTTGACTTCCTTAATCCTTATTCCAAGGTGACATGGATGAGACTTTTGAAATAGCATTGTCTACTCCTTGATGACGTGGCTCTTGGAGCTTGACTAGGCATAGATCTCTTTTGGGATAGATTTATTGAGTTACGTTTAAGGATCAAAAATATTGTTTCAAAACGGTGGAAACATCAAAAACGTTTTCGTTTTCAAAGAGACCAAAATGAAACAGTGATGAAATCGAAATTCTAATATTTTGATGTATTTTATAATGTTTCGTGATGTTTTATAATATTTCAATGCATTTGCACAATTACTTTGGAAAGTTTCAAGGTATTTCAAGATGCTTTGATATATTTTAATCAATGTTTTAAAAAAATAATTCTTAAATTTTTTACTTTTTCATTATGTTTTCAAAACGGTTCGAAACGTTTCTAAAACACGTTGAAATATTTCCGTTTTCTAGATGACCGAAACAACACACCGAAACGAAATTTTAATCCTTGGTTTCCTATGAATAAATCCTTTATTCAAGTTAGGCCCACAACCTGAGTTGGGGCTTGGGTCAAACCCATCAGTAAGAATGTTACTTAAAATTTTTAAATCGATCACAAACTATCATAAAAATTATAAATAAACCTGAAAAAATTATATTAAAAAAATCTTAAATTTTGAAATGGTGGTACAGTACCATTTTTTTCCGATATATATTTTTTTTTGGGGTCAGATTGTATGGTACTTTAAACTTTTCCCAATTTAATGGAGAAGTGAGAGGAGCTTTTCACTTGGGCCCAAAATAAAAAATCTAACTTGCTTACAAGTTAAAGGAAAAACTATTAGGTCATCTCTCCATGATTTTACTCAATGACACACTACCTCTCTATACTTTTAAAACCCTACAAAATCACTATAATTGTGCACTCAACTGAAACAATAAGAAATTTCATTACAATAGCAGTCAAAGGTCAAAAGTCAATATATTTAATCAAATAACATGTAAAAATAAAGTTGATATCCCTATACATTTTTTATTTTCTCTCTCTAAAATGAATTAATCTCTTTCCCTTTTTCTTTCCATACATGAAGTAGATGTTAAGTTCAAAATCATAGAGGGTCATGTATAATGTTATTGTCATTGGTGTACCCATATCCCCCCAAACACGCACACACCCCCAACAAAAAAAAAATCTCTCACATGCCTCAATCAAACGGAGAATATCTTCACCAAACATAAGCATTTCATTTCAACTTTGTTTTAAAAGTAATCTCACAAGAAGTTGGCTGTGTAACAGAGAGATTATTGAGAGAAGGGGAGTAAAAAGTGTGAAGGAAATGACACACTTCATGCATGTTGTACCTCACACTCAAGCGATGCACATTCATCTATTTAGTCCCTTTAGTGAATTTCTGCTCACTTAAGCAAGCAAAATACACTCCAGTAACCGAACCTTCATACCCAAAAAACAAACACACCATGGCTTCTTCTCCTTCCCTCCTGTCCTTTTCCATCACCTTTCTCCTTCTTCTCACTTGGTTTCCATACAAAACCCTTCCACAAAACCCCGGAAACTCGCCTTCGGGCCCCACCGTTGCAGGGTGTGGGACAAGTCTGCTACCATTGGTCCCATGTGCACCATTTGTGCAGGGCTCAGTGCCCTCACCAGCACAGCAGTGTTGTGATAATCTGAAACAATTCTACAACCAGCAACCTAATTGCCTTTGCTTCTTGCTGAATAACACAGCCTTGAGATCTTTCCCTATTAACAGAACGCTTGCTCTGCAGCTCCCACTTCTTTGCAACCTCCAAGTTGACATCTCTGCATGTTCAGGTGTATATGAACCACAAAATTTCTTTTTGTTCTCTTTTTCTGGCCAATTTTTAAGCATGTCATTGTTTTACAATTATACGTGCCAAAAGAGGTATGATTGTGAAGGTTACAGAAAAGAAAGCTAGATGTAATTTTTATCAGAGGTAAGTTACAACAAAAATTGAACTACGATCTTACAATTTTAAGATCGAACCTAAAATAAATGGGGTCAAGTTAAGGTTAAAAAAAAAAGTCGGAATCGATCCTAAAGGGTAAGGATCGATCCCAAACAACCTCATTTTGTAGTAATATTACCAAATTAAATTTTAATTTCAATGTTATTTTCTAGTAATTTCAGTACTATATCAAAAAAACAAATTTGTAGCTACCATAATCATTCACATCATAAATAGGAATGACTTCCACTATCTTCTGTCAGAAACTTTAATTGTCCAGATTTAGTCAAAAGTAGGAGAAAGTGTATTTTCTTAATAATGTAGACATGCTAATGCTATACAAATTGGACACATTCAGTCTATGTAATTTCAAGTAGTAGACAAAAGAAATAATCAAATTCTGGGGGTCTTATTTTTGTTGTTGTTTAACATATCTCGTGTCGATTTATTTGAAGGGGTAACTTTGCCGCCTACTGCACCTGCTTCTCAAGTTTCCTTTGGCACAAAAACCAATTCAACTGTCGCTGGTATGCAAGCTAAAGAACATTCATTTCTTTCTGAGCTATCATAAATTAAATTGGTGGTTGTAATAGTTTGTTTGTGTTTGCTTCGAAATCAGAATTTGCTTACTAACGATAAAATGTATGCGATTCACTTTCTTTTAATGCTTGGTTTTTTCTTGAAATTTCTAGCTTCTCCGATGGTCACAGTAGCACCGAGACCCAACATTATGGGATTTGGGTTTCACCATAGTGCTAGCAAAAAACTGAAGGTTGGAGGTAACTTGAGGGTGGCAGTGGTGGCAGCAGCAGCAGTAGCAGCATTTCTACCGACGAGTGTTCTTCTATAAGTACAACTTTGCATCAAGTCTGGTTTTAGCATAGTTTAGCTGTCCATTGGTATTATTAGTGTGGGAAGTGATTTTAATTAACATGTAGGCCAGCTTTGGATGTTTGATGTTATACTTACATACTATCAACCATTTGCTGGTTTGGGATGATTATTCAAATGAATTACAGGTTTGAGAGATGTATCAACAATTTAAACTTCATGCACAACAATCCTAAAGGTTCTCATCCTAACAAGGAGTATCCAATCATTTTAGAGTACCTACCTAATCCTCCCAGACACATGCAATCCCCCAACACGTACCAAACAATTACAGCGATAAACCCAAACAATTACAGCGATAAACCCCTGCGGATGGCCCCAAAGATCAGCATGGTTATCTGATTTTAAAGATCAGACTAATTACAAAAACAACAGATCAGAATGACTTTCCCAAACATATTCAAAGATCATATTTATTCTCTTTCTTATCAGGATTTTGACGTGCTCATATAACATTTATAGTTGTAACAGAACTGAAAGGTTTGTCCATCAACTTAAACTTCCAACAATACGTCCCTCTATCTTTTCCATATTTATTAATGCCACGCTTCTCTATAAGGCAAAAGTGAACAGTTTCAATGAAGATTATGTGCCAAAAACAAACTCTACTATTCTTTTAGATATATTTTCTGTGCCAATATTTCATATAATAGTCAAACGCGAAAAAATAACTTACAGCAAATAACATTTCCTTACAAACTGAGAAGAACGCCTGTAGTTGGAATATTTCACTGCTAACATTTAAAAGGAGCTAGAGGAAAAGGTGACCTCGAATCAACTGGAAGAGCTATTCCAAACTAGGTGCCTCCTCAGTTGGATTGGACTCAAAAACATCTGAGTTGGATGATTCTGGTTCTTCTAAAAGTTCTCGTGATTGGATCGATTCCTTGTATACAGGAGTTTGCTTAAAATCTGCCGCCCCTTCATTGTATGTGGCCACAGCAATTCCACATGCAATCAACTGTGAAGAGGAAAATGTAAGAATAAACATTAGAGTTGTCAAAGCACCAGCAATTATGTATCGAACAAAAATATAGTCAAGATGGATGACAGCAACATCTATAACAGTATTGGCATCTAGATCCCAGAGGATTCATTGCATTCTCCAAAATCCACTAACCTCAGTTCCTCAACAAAACGAAGCGATTAAATTTAGGGACAAAGTGTACTTGTGTAACATCAAGCTACCTCACCAATAATTATTGCAAAATGCTGGCAATATCCTTGACCAAGGAGTTTCTAAAATCCACAATTTTCAGTGAATTATTTTGGCTTGGTTCAACGATAAAGTGATTGAACTATAGATTGATTCAGTGGTAAAGCGATAGAACTGTTAGGTTTGATAATCCAGGTTTGAGATTATAAGGTTAGATGCGTATCTAGCCTATCTTTCTCAGCATCATGCTTAAGTGCGATGGCCCTAGGTTTTTTCATTTATACATTCTAGTTCTTACAAAGAGTATGAGTGTGCAAGAGTAAAACCACCAACTTCCTCTATTATACTTCAAGACAAGTTCAAAATGTTTATAACGACTGCTGAAAACTTATTTTGTACCAGTGCTAAAGATAATATGCATAGGGGTTCAAGGGGCTCTTCAGCTGCATTTTTATAAGGTGTATCTCAAGGTTTTGACGGCTAGGCTACAATGCATTCACTATGACGCTGCATAAGTTTTGGATGCTAAATATTGCCTACCAGTATAAGTTTACATGGATAATAATAAAACCAAATATCACTTCCCATCCATGGATTCCACAAGCCATTCTCCATCCAATCATCATAGGCTGTTTTGACAGTACTTGAAAAATGCAGAAACAATGTTAAACTCTGCAAAACAAAAACTTGGTTTGTTATTTTTATTTTAGGGGTTATAAATATCAGTACCTACTTTCTATGGGTCGAATGTTATGTGGTTTGGCTGCAGAGTGTCTTGAAAAAATTAGGTTTTATCATGCTATATACCATCTAAGCAACATTGCATACGGACATACTCGAAGTGCCTACAAATGTCGCACTAATCAAAGGAGTTTGTGGTACTGGATGCTACATGTCTGAAACGCTGCATTATATTCATTATACGTCAATTAAATTTCAGACTGGACCTCATCACGGATGCTACAAAACGCCAGTATAACTGCATCTATAAAAAATATTTTGCACTTTCCTAATGATTTCAGGGATCTGGCAATCAACTAAAGATGTTTCAGAGGATTAACAAAGCCATCAGATAGTGCTAATAAGGTCTTTAAGGGTAGCTTAAGGTTAAATACAAAATTTACCCATTCATCTTGACTCGCATGGCTGATCACTCGTTCCTCTCGTTCACAAATACCATAAACATATAATCCAAATCTTTCAATCGTAATAGCTTCAAATTCTATTTGAGATATTTGAACTTCTTCTTTCAATACTTTATGGTAAAAGACATTGGGCAACTAATAAACAACATTGCAAGAAATTAAATGCAACTGAAATGTGGATGTCAAAAGAGATGTGTGGTAAAACTAGAAAGGATTGAGTTAGAAATAAATAAATTCGTGAAACTGTAAAAGTAGCGTCAAAAAAAGATAAATTAAGAAAGGACATGTTTATAAAGGACTAGTGTTGTAACATTGAGGAAAACTAATTTGATAAATATCGATGGAAATGCGAGAGGTAAATATAGACTAAGATTAACTTCAAATGAGATAATAAAAAAGGGTTAGTTTACAATTTATACCCTTAACGTATCTACAAAATTTCTATTTGGTCCCTGAAGTTCCAATTTAAACAATTACATCCTTAAGATTTTAACCGAGTTTCAGACTAGTTCTTCAATCCAAATCTATCAATTTGTTCCAACAGAAAGACGTCACGGGACTTGCCAATAAGAGTATATTTGTATAGAAAAAAATTTCTCTCTCAAATAAATTTGTATTTCTATATTTGTCTTATAGTATTGTCTCATTCTGACTTTGTATCTTTTTTTTTGGTTTGTTATCTTCTTTTTCTCCAAATCAAATGAAATAAAGTAATATTTTCTAGCCTACATGTAAAAAAAATTTCACCAGAGAATAAATTGGTGAAATTTAGTCCTTTTATCCAAATTATATGTTGGTCACGCAAGGGCATTCCGTGATAAAAAATTGATGAATTGCTTTGATGTAAAGACTAAATTGAAACACAACTAAAATTCTAAGGATTTGATTGTTGCAGAACTTTTGACCAAACAAGAGCTTCTTTTCAAACTTATACCAAAAAAAAAGTCATTTTCAAACTAATTCTCAAACTCTGATACTTTTAAAAGACATGATTCCCACTGACATTTTTAGGTTAAAAACATCATTCCAACCAACGTCTTCAATAATTTTTTTTAATGTAAAAGACCTTGGTTCAAGTAACATCTTTATGGAAAACGTCATTTGGACCGATGTTTTATATCCCTTCAGGTCATTCTTTGTGTCTGATTTTTAATATTAACGCTTTATATGAAAAACATCGGTTAGACCAGCATTTTTATTTTTAGTCAACCTTCTTCCCTTTTCTTCTTTCTCCACTTTCCTTCTTTTCTCTTTGATTTTTCCCCTTTTTTGGAGCCCTAAATCGAACCACCACTCCCATCCCAAATCACCACCACCATCTGAAACCCACCTCCACCACCATCTCCGAATCACCACCACCATCATCACCACGAATCACCACCACCATTTGAAACCAACCTCCATCACCATCTCCAAATGACCACCACCGCCACCATCTGAAACCCACCTCACCACCAACTCCGAATCGCAACTACCTTCATTTGAAGGCCATCAGAGCTACTGGGTTGAAGACCACTGAAGCCCCAAATGTTTGGTATGCATCTCCCTCTCACCCTCTCTTTGATCGCTGTCTCTCTCTGTCTCTTAATGTTTAATGATGCAAAGTGAGATTAGCCCTATACTGTATGTAATCTTATGTATTTACTGAGTTGCACTTTTTATGTCCTGGTTTCATGCTGAGTGATTTTGATGTTGTGTTGACCTTTCAATCTGAATTTTCGGTCTCTGATGGTTGACATCAGCTATGGATAGGGTTGCCACCTCACCACCTCTAGTCCTGCCATCTCCATCTACACCCCACACCAACGGAGCATGCCCACCATCTACATTAGATTTCACCCCTTGCTGATCATAGGACTTCATCACACTTTAACCCTCCTTTACTGACACTTATTGTTGCACCAGTTTTTCCATCAATGTCTCCACACGTGCCTACGTCAGTGTCACCACGCATAGTTATGCAGGAGGCAATTGATATAAGGGATGTGACCAATGTGGTTTCCCAAAGATACACCGTTGGCGGATGTGTCGTGTATCCCACTGATATTGCCACCGATGCCCCATGTGCCTCCATCTCCTATTCCTTATGACGACTTTTCTAGAGATAATGAAGGTGTTATTGAGGGAGTCACTCAGGAGTCATCCCGTGTTCACATAGGGCGAGCCAGAGGGGGGACTAGAGCACAAGGGGAGTGAGGAGCTAGGGCTCGAGGGCACCATACACATGACCCAATAGATGGTGGAGTGACTCAAGAGCAGCCAGATCATCCTACAGAACAGCGACAGAGGAGGCCACCACCGTGTGGGATGTAGTCCACTTTTTGTTATATGTATTCGGTATGTTTTATCATGTTGTATATAACACATTGAAGTGATTATCAAAAAAAACAAAATTAACTAGGTGGAAGTGTGGTGGTGGTGGTGGTGGTGGTGGTGGTGGTGGAAGTGGTGGAGGTGGAAGGATTGTGGTGGTAAGTTGGACTGACATCTTAGGTATTACAAAAAAAATTAGACTATGGTGTACTTAAAAGATGTCAGTGCAATTGGCATCTTTACATTAATAATGTTAGTCCAACTAACATCTAACGTCTTCAAGCATGGAATTTACTGAAAGGCGCTAGTTAGATTGACGTTTGTAATGTACAGATGTCATTCCGAATGACTTCCGTAACTAAACCAGACATGCTTAAAAACGTCATTCCGATTGACTTTTTAGGTAAAGACGTTGGTTGGAATGACGTTTTTAATCTAAAAATGTTAGTGGGAATGACATCTTTTAAAATTACCTGATTTTGAGAATTAGTTTGAAAATGACTCTATTTTGAGTATAAATTTGGAAAAAAAAAAAAAAAAACCCTTTGTTTGGTCAAAAGCTCAATTGTTGCAATTAGAACTTCAAGATTCAAATAGAAACTAGGTGCATACTTTAAAGGTGTAAATTATAATTTACCCACGGAAAAATATGCTACCTTATGGTTTAAAAGAACGGAATAGAATTCATATAGCTAATCCCAACTAATTTAGATAAGTTTTTGTTGAGTTGAATTATATATGATCACATATGGTTGCCTTTTTGTGCAAGTTATGTACTCATCCAAAATTCAAAAACTAACTCAAGAAACTATATATTAGTTTGTGGTTTCAAACCTTATTCGAAAGCAAGTCGAAGAAAACCCAAATTCAATAAGTGATGGCTGTAATGGTACTTAGACCTAATTTGCAAATTTAATTTGCTAATCTAATCCATTACTCTCTTTGGTTTGGTAATGAATCCCAATTTATATAAGATCTAGTCTGAATCCAAAACAATTGATTAGGTAAGTAAATTAGGTTGCAACAACTCGTAAATAAAAAGAGTCGGAGAAAAAATACCACCAACACGATGAGCACATAGGTCACTATACCGTTTCCTTTCGTTTCCAAACATCCTAAACTTGAACATGTCCATACACTTCAATAGTAAAAGCTTCGAATTCTACATAAGATATCTGAACTTCCTCAGTACAACCATTTATTCCTCACATATTAGATTGACTTGATCTCACAAAGTTCTTCAAGTTAGCATTCATACCAAATTCAAAACCAAATTCAGGGAACTTCTTATTGGTTTTCGTGGTTCCAACATTAATCATTAAAACAGTCAAATGAAAACCCAATTTTTTTAATAATAATGAAATCCAAATTCAATATCAGCTAATGAGATCCAAAAATTATTACAGTTCAGAAAACAAATGGTAATTGAAAGGGCGTTGGAGAAAAATACCGCGAAAACGATGCCAAAAGCCCACATATACTGAACGAAGAAGCCAAAAGCATCCCACTGAGGCCCCTCCCAGAAGTCCGTTTTATCACCAGGAAGCTCCGGCATGACAAATCCATCATCAAACCCAGAACTAGCATCAGAAATCCCTGTATTACCACTATTTTCAAGACTTCCACCAAACCCAGTTCCAATATCATCGCTTCTTTCTTCTTCTTCATCTTTGGTTTTAGTTGAGCTTCTTTTATTTTTGCTGTCGAATTTTCCTGTTCTAGAAGAGAGTTTCTTGGCAGCTGAGACTATGAAAGTTGTTCTTGGAGGAGTGAGAGATGTGTTTGTTGTAAAAGAAATAGCTTGGTGGAGAGGGAGGTGGGTGTATGGTTTTCTGGTGAGGGTGTTGCAGAGGAATCGATTGCTGGTTAGGGCCATTGGAGTGGCTGAGACTTGCATTTGGTTCGAGAGTTTCTCCTTGGACTGTAAGGATAAGGAGATAACAGTGCTAAGATACGAACCGGAATTTGAACGGTTAAGAATCCGGTTCACAATTTAATTTATCTGCAAGCCCGGTCCAAATTATGTAACGAAAAATACATGATTTTTAAGACGCCGGAATGATTTTTAGGACTTTTGAATTTTAAGTCCTTACAAAAAAAGGTTTAGGAGTTAAAGGATATTTCTGAACAAATGATCTAAATTATCTCTAACTTCTCATTTACCTCTAACAAAAATTATATTTGGTAGCTGAAGGTTTAACACCTGATTCAACGTTAATTAAGATCACAATTTCATTAAATATGAACAACGATCCCCATCAAAATAGGAATAAATTTGGTGGTTTGAAATTTGACTAAAATAGGAATAATTTTGTTTATAGAAACTGACGTTATCTTCGACCAAGAAAATCGAAAAAAATTGTATCAATTCCTTCAAAATCGAGGGAAACTTTAGAAAGCAGTTCAATGGTTTGAAAGCTAAACAAAATAGGAATAAATTCATCAAAAATCATATTTGCAGATCTCAAAATATGAACATACAACAAAGGAAAAAAGAACAATGACAACTAAAACATAGTAACATTGTAAAACAACAAAAAATATTGCTAACAAAAAATAATAAGGTGATATACAACAAAAATAATACTAACGAATGAGAATAGAGACTGACAGATGACATTAACAAATGAAATATAGTGACATTGAAAACAACAAACTATCATTGTGAACCCGAGTATGCATGCATAATAAGTAAATAAAAAAATTAGGAAAATATTTTCCTAGTGCATTGTTTAATATGTATGTAATTATAAAAAATTTAAATTTTCAAATTAAATTAATTTTGTATTTAAGGTATTTACAGAAATGCCATTACATGGCATTTCCTTCCAAGTAGCTGCCTAGCTGCTAAAGAGGGTCTCTCACCATTCTCCAACCATCCTAAAGTCTTCAGCCAAGGTTCTAGAGTAAATAGGCATCATTTGTAGAGAGAGAAACCGAAGAGACAAGTGAAAGAGGGAGAGAGATAGAGAGAGAGAGAAAGAAAGAAAGTGTAAAGATCAAATCTTTGTAGGAAGGAATTTGAGCATCAAGGGGTAAGATTATAGCTTAATTAGGGCGTTAGGATTTCATATATGATGCTTAAAACATGTTTTAATCATTGCTTGAGCAAGAATTTTTATTTTGAAATTTTCAGGTTTTAGTTGGAATAGAAACGGGTTTGAGTTTTGGTTTGATTTTAGCTTGTATTGAGGTTTAGGAATGGTTTATGGGTGTTTATTTTGAAGATTGGTTGTGGTCGATGGTGGTGGTTTGAAGAAGAGGAAGTTCATGGTGAGGGTTTAAGTTTCTTTAAAATTAAAGGTTTGAATCTTGAGTTTTAGTAAGGAGTATTGGGCTAGACTAAAACCAACCCTTGGAATCGATTGGTGACCTTAGAAATAGATTTTGAGTTTGTTTGGTGGGAGAAAAAGACAATTCCAGGTTTGTCGACGAGGTGTAAAATCTTTTTTTTTTTTCCAAACTTTGGTTCAATTTTTTTATAGGTTAGAGTTTGATTCGAAGGATCTCACCTATGGTGATTTGAAGAGGGTTATGTTGTGAGTAATTAAATAGGTATATAAGTTTTCTGTGGAATGAGTTATAGGGGTGAAAAGAGGGGGTCATGAACTAGAACTTTGGCATCTAGGTTTTTCTAGAGGTAGAAGATGAAGTGGATCGGAGGACCACTGGTCACCCCGACGGCGAGGGAGGATATGTCCAACATCCTATGGACATATCGTTGGTGCCAAAATTTTCGTAACGTTCGCGTGTAGGTCTCGGTAAAATTTAAGGTCAATCTCATACCCAAATCAAGATATGGTGTAAAATGTTTATTTTGCACTTCGGGGGCAATTTAGCCCATTTTTTGGGTGATTTTCACCAAAAAATTTAATATTCATCTTAGATAGGTTAATTGAGTATGTGTATAAAATTTCATTGAAAAATAATATCGTTTTATTTTTTGTTGTTTCAAATCGAAAACTAACACAGGGTAGGGTTTCTCAATTTCGGATTTGACGAAGTATTTCAAATTCATTTCTAAATTATGTCTTATATTAATTTTATCTGTTAGCATATTTTAAAATTATATGATTGGGCATTTGAACTCAGACTTAGAATTTCAGATCCGGATTAGGGTTTTGAGCGTGGTAACGCAAAATGGTCCGAAATGATTAATTTGACTGTATAAAATGAGATACCAGAATCCTTTTAAACCAAATAANATGGTGGTGGTTTGAAGAAGAGGAAGTTCATGGTGAGGGTTTAAGTTTCTTTAAAATTAAAGGTTTGAATCTTGAGTTTTAGTAAGGAGTATTGGGCTAGACTAAAACCAACCCTTGGAATCGATTGGTGACCTTAGAAATAGATTTTGAGTTTGTTTGGTGGGAGAAAAAGACAATTCCAGGTTTGTCGACGAGGTGTAAAATCTTTTTTTTTTTTCCAAACTTTGGTTCAATTTTTTTATAGGTTAGAGTTTGATTCGAAGGATCTCACCTATGGTGATTTGAAGAGGGTTATGTTGTGAGTAATTAAATAGGTATATAAGTTTTCTGTGGAATGAGTTATAGGGGTGAAAAGAGGGGGTCATGAACTAGAACTTTGGCATCTAGGTTTTTCTAGAGGTAGAAGATGAAGTGGATCGGAGGACCACTGGTCACCCCGACGGCGAGGGAGGATATGTCCAACATCCTATGGACATATCGTTGGTGCCAAAATTTTCGTAACGTTCGCGTGTAGGTCTCGGTAAAATTTAAGGTCAATCTCATACCCAAATCAAGATATGGTGTAAAATGTTTATTTTGCACTTCGGGGGCAATTTAGCCCATTTTTTGGGTGATTTTCACCAAAAAATTTAATATTCATCTTAGATAGGTTAATTGAGTATGTGTATAAAATTTCATTGAAAAATAATATCGTTTTATTTTTTGTTGTTTCAAATCGAAAACTAACACAGGGTAGGGTTTCTCAATTTCGGATTTGACGAAGTATTTCAAATTCATTTCTAAATTATGTCTTATATTAATTTTATCTGTTAGCATATTTTAAAATTATATGATTGGGCATTTGAACTCAGACTTAGAATTTCAGATCCGGATTAGGGTTTTGAGCGTGGTAACGCAAAATGGTCCGAAATGATTAATTTGACTGTATAAAATGAGATACCAGAATCCTTTTAAACCAAATAAAAGTTCACACAGGTCGAGCGGCAAAACTGTTTACATTCCAATTTGGAACCGTAGAGGATACTAATTGAGTTTGTAAACGCCTAGGTAACCTAGTTGGTCTTTGGACTTGGGTCCTGAAATAAAGTTGTAGTGAATACAAAACGTCACAAAGCATATTCATATGCATCAATCAAGTTATTTTTTAGTTGATACTCATTTGCACCCATCCATGTGTTAACTATTAGGGTTAGAGGCTAACATCTAAGGATGAACCGTAAAGTAAAGAAGAGTATCTGTCAGCAGTAAAGGTGAAGTGTACTACTTTATAATAATTGAAAATAAAAGTATATAACCTATGAATTATTTTTCATTATGTGAAATGAAGTTTTGATGATTAATTTGAGTTGAGTTGCTTAAACTATGGATCAAATGTGTTAAAAAGCTTGTGTTTTGAGTATTATCCACTTTGTCAAGTTGTTGATAACTTGAAATGACTTACATGTTGTTGATTTTGACATTGTGCAATTGTTTTGAGATTGTTTGACATTTCTTAAAATGTTATAGATAGCTTGATATGGCTTAATGTTGTTGTTTGACTCGTTGATTATGTGAATATTTATTATTTTGATATATGAGGTTGATTTGAGTTTCAAAGTGATTTGAGTTCACTTTGGTTATGATTTGTGGGTTATGAGTATCTTTTTGGTGGAATTATATTTGATCCATAATTTTTTTATATTTCCTTTGATTATGATGTTAAGTACACTCAAGAATATTATTGGTCTCAAATGCCGAAGTCTAGAGTGAGGTCCACTACTGTATTACATGGTAGAGATGGGGGAAAAACTAAGGAAGTTGCATATATGTTATCAGGAAGTTACATATTTGTTGTTATAAAGGTATGAAATTCCTAATCTTTTATTTCGGTACAAGCGACATTGTTGTGCACTCTATTGTATAGTTTTTCTGTTTTGTTGTGGCATTATTTTTTTTAAATGCATTATTGCATTCTGACGTAGGTATTGTCATGTGTTGAATTACGTTTCCATCTTTAGGGAACCAAGGGGGTCTCTCAGAAAGGGGTCTGACAGTTTTTAGTATCAAAGCTAGTGTCTATAGATTTTGTAAACATGCCAAAGTCTAGTGCTAGTAGTGCACCTTAGGAATTATGTTAGTGAGTCAATAGAGTAAGTATGAGTTCTTAGTCGTGTCCTAAGATATTTAGTGATTGCATGGTGCATTTATGCATGGGCATATTATTTTTTGTAACTGGATTTGAATTCCAGATATAGAGTAATGGAACCAAATTACTACGTTGAGGAGGTAGATTCTAATGCATCTGATTCAGCTCAGGGATCAGTTCATTCAAATCAAGAGGCCTATGGTGCAAAAGAGACTAAAAGTCTTGAGTGGGAAATAGCACAAGCTAAAACGACAAGGTCCATACTTCTTTATTCATGCATTTTAAGAAGCTTAGGCTGCCAAGTTTTGCAGGGTCAATAAATCCAGCTAAAACAAAAAACTAGAAAAAAACTATGTTACGTATTTTTGATATTATGCACCCAACAGATGAACAAAGAGTTAGTTTTACTAACTTTATGCTCACAGATGATGCTTTAAATTGGTCGAAGAATATTAAGAGATTGATGACCACCCGACACATGGAGCTCAGGATGTAACTCCAAATAAGGTTAATTGTGCTATGTTTGAGAAAGCGTTTAATGAATAGTATTTTCCACAGTCATACCGG